TTATAGTTTTAAATACATGATGATATACTACAATGGTTAAATGATTCAATTATGCTTCATTGATATATATGTTGTTTGTCTTGCGTAATTTATGGTTGATTTATGAAATTGGTAATTAATATGCAAACGAAAAAATTGTTTGGGTATGTGAATTAATGAATGGTAACCTTAGTGGATATCTTGAGAGATGGTGGACGGACCAGATATATAGATAACCTTACCGTAAACGTTGCCTCATATCGGATGGGGTATTGAGGATTAGTATTTTGGCACTCGTACCTCATACCGAATAGGGTATTGAGGGATGATATTTTTAGCGCTCATACTGGATGAGGTATGAGACGGTCGGTTAGTTAAAAATGTCGAATATTGGTTCACGCGTAGTGGGACATCCCTATGGGTCCCCAAGAATACTAGTAGGTAAATAAAAAAGAAAAAGTGATTGTTATTACTCACTTGAAAATGACATTGGAATGTTATTTGAGTTATTGTCTTTATAGGTTGATTTTAAAAATCTCGCAACAGTAAATATATGCAATAAATAGTTTTTCCTTATGATAAATGAATTTACTTAAATCAAGAGTTCTATTTGTTGTTTTTATGATTTTTACTAACTTTCAGTTTCCGTATGGTGAGTAGTGTGATATTTTTACTAGGTTAATGTAACTCACCATTTCATTAACTGTTTCAAATCAAGAGAATTAAGACCCAGATTTTGATCAACAGTAAGGTTGTGAATAGTTCACCACCTAAAATCTCTTCAAAAACTAGTGAAAATCGTTCTAGAATGCTCAGTATATTGTCTTTTATTTATTTCTTTGATTTTGTTTGTTCTTTTAGAATGATCATTCCCGTATCCCTATTGGGCATTCTAAATTATTGTATAAGAAATGTAAATCCTAAACTCTATTATTTCACTTTCACATTTAATTCATGACTTTATTTCCTTTTAAGTTCCGGACATTTACAAAAAGTTTATAATTGTAATATAATCACCATTCTGTTACACCATGTTATTGTGATTACATTTTTTGACATATATAATCAATAATTACATTGCTTCTCCTAATCGTATAAATACCCAACAATATCTATAGTGTCAGAGATATTAAAAGACAGTTTTAATATTTAAATATATAAAATTGTCTACAGGTATTCAGAATAATCCAAAATGACTTAATGTACTATGAGTACTGAAAAATATTCTCGAATATTTATAAATCATAAAGTACTTCAGTACCTAAAATATCTAAAATGTTCAAAGTGTATTTAAAATACAAGGAATTATCAATGTATAAAAAAGTTCATCTCAAATACTCTCATATACTTGGAATATCTACAAATAATTGTAGGTACTCGAAATACTCATAAATAATTAATAGTAAATGAAATACCTAAAAATATCTCTAACTATTAAAAAAAATTATCTAAATTATTTAAAAGTGTCAACGAGTACGTAAAATATTCTGAATACCCTCAGATAGATAAAATTATAAAAAATATCTTTCAGTATCCAAAATACTCAGTAAATGTCTTTTAATATTCGAAATACTCGTAAATAATGTTAGATATTCGAAATACCTAAAAAACTCTCATAAATATTAAAAATACCTATAAATATTCCATGTACCCAAACACCTATGACAAATTAAATATCCTAAAAAACTTCAAAAAATATGTTGTCATGAGCATTGAAAATACTCTTAAATAGCTTTAAATACCCAAAAAATATATATGTATATATATATATATATATATATATAAATACCTTCTTAATACTTGAAATACGAAAAGAAAAACACCTATAGTAACGTAAAATATCTAAAAATGCCTTCAAATATCCAAAATAACAAAAATTATCAATAGATTTCCAAAATATTCAGAAATATCCCCAAGTATTCAAAATATCTGAAAACACCTCATTGTTGTGCCTTTTTATTATTATTATTATTTTTTTAGCTTTCTGAGTATTTATGTAAGTTTTAAACTTTTTGAGTGCTTCACAATCTTTTGGAAAATTTGAATATCCAACAATCTTTATGAACTTTTTAAAATATATTAGAACAAGTGAAACTAAAAGATTTTTATCTCTCAGTTATTTGAATTTTAATTTAAAATCAAGATTTAAGTTTCAACTATTCCTTAAAAGAAAATTATCATATATTACGATCTACTCCGGAAAAAAAAAATATTGGACAAATCTTGATCTCAAGTTCTTGAGAATGTTGCTATGTTTTTCAAGAATCTCTTTTCTTAAGCTTTTCAAATCCCAAATATTTTTGAAATTTTCTTGTATTTAAGACCATTTCTAATTTTGCAAAACTGTAATCATATAATATAATTGTATTGCATAATTGCTTTCGTTTGTATATTAAACAAATCATTGAAAGATTGCACTACAGAAGCATTCACATTGACATGATCAAACATCCTAATACTTATCATAGCCAAATTATATTGCATTACATAATAATACTTTCAAATTCAGCCGCAGGCATCTTTTGTAGAGAGAATACTTATCATAGCCAATTTCACTTCCAAGTCAATATTTACTCTGAACTCTCCATCCTCAGAAAAAATAAGGAAAAGAAAAACATGACCATAAGTGGAGAAAGCTGATATCCAACAAATGACCAACCACTAGTCAAGATGTTTCCATAACATATTGAAAACACCAAGATTAGAATGAACCCTACAAAAACACAGATCCCACTGGCCAAATTAGACAGTAAGAATGCTGATCACTGTGTAATATTTTTACAAGATGCAGCTCCAAAAGAATCATCAAAATGGCATCTGGTTTGTCCCTCTGGACGACATTGCAATCAAATCGGACAAGTGACCAAGTTCCTTGAATGGCAGAAAATTTTTATATTTAAGATTAGTAAAAACAAAAACAATCGCCATCACTAACATTTGTTGTATCCTCTTCCAGTAGTACAGACCTCCAACTACTTCCTGAACGACGCAGTGGAGTATTTTCCCTTACCAATCAGTTCAAAACCCTTTTTTTTCTAAATAATCGATTCAAACCCCATTAAGATGGAAACTGATTTTTTTTTTTCTACTGAATCAGACCAAATTTTGGATCAAAATGCTTATTTCGATTTCTTTTGCTGGTCGGAAACCCTGGCTCCCATAATCTTACAAACAGGTTCATCTTTTGACCGAATAAGCTTTAAAGCTGGATGAACCTTCAGATCTCCCATTACCAATTTCTGGCCCACATCCAGCCCACTAAGATCCACATCAATATAGGGAGGGACGATATCAGCAGGGCAAAGGAACTTGACAGTCCTTTTAATCGTGTTTAAATAAGCTCCTGCGTGATTTTATCACAATTAACATCCATAAGTCAGATCAACAGAAAACTTTCTATTAAAACATGGAAAACCATCATTAGGGCAGAATATTACCATTGGCGTGAACAAAAACAATCCACCATTAGACACAAAGTAAGCTGATATTTTGAAGGTTGTAACTAGTATTTTTCTTATTTTAGTAAAATAAGAAATATATTTGAAAGAGCAAATACTGTCATAGACAGGATTTAAACTGTAACACATCCAATTAAAAGAATGTACTAAAAGGAGAGAAAGCAAAAATAAGGACAAAATACAAACACAATCCCTTAACAGAGTACATAAAGTCAACCCCTCTGGATAAGGCACCGCCAAGTGTAGCTTTTTCGCCTGGAAGGTTGCTAGAGAATGCATTCTCACTCTGGATAAGCCAATTAGGAGGAGAAGAGTCTTGGTTAATGGTTGTTACTTGTGCAAGAGAAATGCATAATCATGTACCCATATACTATTGTGGTGTCCTTTTGCATACTGCTTGCGTACATTGGTCTGTGGTCTGTTGGCTATCAACTGCATGATTGCTGGCTCAGTTAAGGATAAGACTAGAGCATGCCATGGGGTTAATAAGGAAAAAAGGGCAAGCCTCATCCCTTTGGCTACTTGGAAAGAAAGAAACATGAGGGCTTTTGAAAGATATGAGTCGAACTACAATAGATTTAAAGATTATTGGTTCCATACCCTAGGTTTTTTTATAAAGGCTCATCCTCTTTATATTGTTGAGAATTTGGGAGATCTAATAGATATTTTGCTTGACATGTAAATTTGTTCCCTTAGACTGCATCCTCTTGGTGCTTGTTTGAATATATATATTCTTATACCTTTTCTTTAAAGAAAAAAAAAAGTCACTCCCTCAAGAAAATTGTTGCTTAAAAGCCTAGCATTTTGTTATAACGAAATGACTCGTAAAACAACAAAAGCAGCCCCCCTCTGTAGCACCTTAGGCTCCATGGCTCTCAAAAGATCATACAAGTATTAGAAATTAAAACTATTTCCATGTTAGGGGACACAGCTTCCTGAAGGTGCGTAGTTAATTAGTATGGAATAATGACATAGTGGAGTTCAAATATGTTCATAAAGTATTAAAGGCAGTATATGTTTATTGAATTAGAATTGGACTAACTACTTGGCATAAGAGTGATGTTATGGCTCATTAGACTTCAAAAGAAAGTGTAGAGAACACTTCTTGAGTTCTAATAACTTATTAGCAGAGGATAGTCTTGTTTATAAAAGGCAATAGTGCATTCTTACTCATGTAAAAATCATTGCTCTAAGAATTAAAGCTAGTAGTATGTTATTAAGGAAACTTTTTTTAAAAAAGAAAAGAGTCATCAAGGAAACTTAAATATGGCTGATATGCAGAAAAGCCTGAGTTGTCAGACAATGAGAAAAACCTTAGGCGGCTGATAACGAGAGAAGTATATAGTGATTAACTAAATCTGATAAATAGAAAAGAAATCATCTAGTCATATTACCGATACATCTCTAAGATGTTTCACATACGATTAAGAGAATTAAATATCAATGGACCATATCTTCAATAATATTTAATAAGTCCAAGAAATCACTATGTTTTTCCTCATAACTAAGAAAACCATAATAGTAAGACTTTATGATACTAAAATATTAATATATTTAATGCGAGGAGATTCTTGAATTAGATTTAAAGAGCATATGTTGCTGAAGTAAAACAAAACTTCAAGTGGGTTAGGTACGTCATGCAGGAAGGTATAAATTGATGAATCTAGTTAGTTATAAGACAGCTTCGGTTTCAAAAACAATCAAAATTGAAATAACAGTTTTTCCAAAGAATTTTAGCATACTTCTGAGGAAGAAAAATGATAACTATTTTTTGAAAAAGAAATTATTAGCCAATAAAAAATATAACAGAAGCTCAATGGATAGCACTATATTATTACTTGAAAAGTCATTTTCTGGTGAAATTTTAGTCTAATAAATTAACATCAAATTTAATCTTTGGAGGTCTGTACAAGTTGTAAACGGCTTGAAGAAAAGTATTAGATCAATGAAGAAAAACAAAGAAAAAATCTTATTGATCTTGAGAATGTTTTACATTCGAGAGGGTGATTACATACCAGAAGGTATAACAAAATAGTTCAATGAAATGAAAACACCTCAGCTTCTAGAATATGTCAAGCTCATTCTAGAAAATAACAAACTTCCTAATTGTGAGCATTGTGATGATGGAATGATACAAAAAACCAGAAAAAAATATAACAGAAACTAAAAACATACAAATAACATCCCCCACTCAAGTTGGAGTTTGATGAGGCTCAAGCAAAACCCAACTTGGAAGTTATGACATTGAATTGAGGCAAGCTAAGAGACTTGGTCAAACTATCAGCAAGTTGCATGAATGGAAATGTACTGCGGCAAAATAAAACCATTCTTATATTTCTTGCGAGCAATATGACAGTCAATCTCGATATTCTTTGTTCTTTCATGGAACACGGGGTTGGCGGTGATATGCATGGCGGATTTATTGTCACACCACAAGGGAATGGGAAGTTGGAGATGTAATTGAAGATCAGAGAAAAGATAAGTGAGCCACATAAGTTCACGAATAGTATTGGCCATGCTGCAATATTCAACTTCACAAGAAGACCGAGAAATGATGTCTTGTTTCTTTGTTTTCCAAGAAATAAGTGAAGAGCCCAAAAAAATTCAATAGCCAGTTAAGCTACATTTGGTTTTGGGACAAGAGGCCCAATAACTATCTGACTAAGCAACCAGTTGAAGATTACTTGAGGATGGATAAAATAATCCAGCGGAGTGAGTGCCCTTGAGGTATCTGCAAACGTGAAGAGCAGCATCCCATTGAATATTGGTGATTCTGTAAACTGGCTAAGTTGATTAACTGCATAACTGACATCTGGCCTTTTAAAATTCAAATACAATAATTGACCAATAAGACGACGATACTGCTTAGGATCAGGAAAGGGATCTGACTCAGTGTAAAATTTGAAATTCTTTGGAAGAGGAGTAAGAGCTGGTCTGGATCCAGTTAAACCAGTATCAGCAAAGATATCAAGAACATATTTTCATTATGTGATGTACATGCCTTTTTCAGAGCGTGCTAGTTTGAGGCCCAAAAAATACTTTGCTTCACCAAGATCTTTTATGGTAAAGGCATCATGTAAAAATTGCTTTGTTGCTGAAATAGCAGACTTAGAACTTCCAGTTATAAGGACATGATCAACATAAATTAGTAGAGCCAAGAATGTACCAAAATATTGCTTTATAAATAAGCAGTGGTCGTGTTCTGATTCAATGAAACCAAACTGTAGCAGTTTCTCAGTAAAAACAGTGTTCCATTGTTGTGAAGCTTGTTTGAGAACATACAAAGACTTTTTTAGCCTGCAAACTTGCGAAGGAGAAGCTTTAGCACAACCGGAAGGAGGTTTAAGACAAACTTCTTCATCAAGAGTGCCATGAAGGAATGCATTATTGATATCCAGCTGATGAAGAAACCAATTTTTAGCAGCAGCAAGTGCTAAGAAGAATATGATTGTGATTGTTTTAGCTACTAGAGAGAAATTTTCAAAATAATCCACACCCTTTGTTTGATTGTATCATTTGCCTACTAATCGAGCCTTGAAACGTTCTACTTTACCATCTGGAAGAAATTTAACTTTATATACCCATTTTGTCCCAATAGCATGTTTATCAGCAGGAAAAGTTGTGAGTTCCCAAGTAGCATTGGCTTCCACGACATCAATCTCCCTTTGCATAGCAGCAATCCATTCTTTATGTTTGATGACTTGTTTATAAGAGTATGATTCTGCAATATTAGTAATTTTTGCAAGAAAAGCTATGTATGAAGATGAAAAATTGGAAGAAACTTGATATGGATAAGTTGGAGGTGTGAGTCTTCCAATCGGCGAACCTAGAGGCTGCTTGTACTATTTGTGATGGCAGAATGGCAAATAAAATCTTTCATCCAAGCAGGTTTGGTTCTGTGTTTGGTGCTGGCTACAGGTGGTTGAACAAAATTATGGAGATATGAAGAAGATGAAGTGTTTTAAGGAGATTGTGAAGATATGAAGACGATGAAGTGTTTTGAGGAGATTGTGAAGACTCTGGATGAGAATCATGCGTCGAAGTAGTACCATGAATGGGAGAGGAATTAGGATCAGAAAAGGGGGCATCAGCTGAAATATCAATCTTGGGCAAAGGAATTTCTTCTTGGTTATAACGAATTGAATGAAATGGGAATGAGTTTTCATAAAAAATAACATCTCAGAAAAAATGGTACTGATGATGTTGTATATCATAGACGTTATAAGCTTTTTTGTGTACTACATACCCTAAAAAAATGCATTTAAAGGATCTAGTGTCCAGCTTATCTCCAGAGGACAAATTGTTAGATATAAAACATAAACATCCAAATGTTTTAAGTTGGTTGTAATTTGGTTTACGACCATATATAATCTCGAACGGGGTTCTCCATTGTAGGACTAAGCTGGGAAGTCTATTTATGAGATAAGTGGCTATCAAAATGGCATCTTCCCAAAAAGGTTTAGGCAAATTGGATTGAAACAATAAGGTCCGGACTATCTCTAATAATTGTTTCCCTGGGATGTATAAGAATATAAGATTTGATGACCAATACCCAAGGAAGCAAACATTTCCTTACATTGCTAATTTACAAATTCAGTCTCATTGTTAGACTGGACTGTTTTATTGGGCACTAAATTTGTGTTTGGATCATTTTGAAGAAGGTGCTAAGAGTGGTTTTGGTTTGAGACTTATGATTTAGTAAGAAAGTTCAAATTCCCCTGCACATCAACTAGAGTTAAAATATACTGAGCATCGCTATGTGTCTGCATTTTATAAGGTCCCCATATGTCCATATGAATTAAATCAAAGGTGTGGGTGGTTTTTATGCTGCTAGTGGGAAAGGAGAGCCTATGTTGCTTAGCCATATGACATACATCACAAGGATGGATAGATTGACAAGATTGATGATTAATGAAGTGCAAGTGCTTCATGGTAGAAGCAGAAGCATGACTTAATCTAGAGTGCCAAATCTAAGTAGAAAGCTCATCTTTATTATCAGAATTTGAAAAACTATTACAAGAAATAGAATTTGACAGCTGGTTATAAGTACTTAAAATGGACATAGGCATTTCCCTTTGTAAGGGAGCAGAGACACATATCTGGTTCTTGGTTTTGTTTATAACTGCAGCTTTGAAGGATGAGCTATCAAGGATATAGAGTGATCCAAATAGTCTACCAACATTGAGGGTAAAAGACAAAAAACAGGTTAGAAGTTTTGACAACTTTGTTAACAGATAGAAGGTTGCAATGGAAAAAAGGAACCTACAACACATCTGTCAAGGGTATGCGAGGGTGTAAGAGAGCAGTACCAGCTTGTTTCACAATTTTTGTAGTTCTATCAGGCATTAATATACAGGGGTGCTTAAGCCAATATCATGCAGATCATGAAGCAATTCCTTGTTAAAACAAATGTGCGTGCTTACACCTATGTCTATGATCCACATGGTAGATTAAAATTTTTTATCAAATGAGAACATAGCATTTTCTTAGGATATACCTGCAAATTTTGTCTCATAAGCAAACATGACTTGTTCTGCCTCTACTAGTCGTTTGCCTTTCATATACTTAGTTATCTTTTGCTGAATCAAGGATGTAAATTTGCTCTAGTGAGTTTCACCCACGTCAAGAGGGGTATCAGCAACAGCAATGGTGTTGGCTGCCATTTTTTTTTTTTGCTTAGATTTTCCCTTCTGATTCTTCAAATCTTCCCACCAAATAGGATATCCATGTATATTGAAGCAGGAATCCTTCGGGTGACCTGGAGCATTACAGTGTTCACAAATTCTATCTCCTTTCCTCACGTTCTTTTTCTTAAAGTTGGATCTAGCCAGTAAAGCATTATTTTCAACCGCATCAGTAGTGTAAATATTTACTTGTCTTTATTTCTCTACATATAAAATCATTGAATAGGCCTTGCTTATAGAGGATAACGGATCCAACATAGGGATTTGACTTCTAACTCCTTCATATGAAAAGTTGAGACCCATTAAGAATTGAATAAGTTTTGCTCGAGGAATTCATCACATTCAACCTCCTCGTAATGTCACAGGAGCACCCTTGACAAGAGCAGACTAGAATCGGAGTTAATTGATTAGTTTATCCCAATTCTTCTTCATCCTATTGTAATACATAGTACCAAAAATGCTACCCTGCTCTATTGAGACAATACCTCTTTGAATTTGATATAAAAAAGATCCATTACAAATCCCATACATTAGCTTAATCTTGCTCAAAAAATCTTGAGCAGTAGAGCAGTAAATAAAAGAATTCACAAGATCCTTTGAAATGGAGCCAAGAATCCAAGATTTTACCATGGCATCTACTCTCTTCCATTGAGCATATCCGTTACTAGAAGGATTTGGTTTTTGAATTTCTCCAGAATTGAAACAAATCTTATTCTTAGCTTCTAATGAGATTTTAACAGCAGTACTCCAGGTTAGATAATTACTCACCATAAGAGGAGCTATAACCAAAGATATTCCTAGATAATCAAACCCATGTATCATCAATGGGTTGCCATTAGTAAGGGTTTGTCACAACGATGCCTTCTTCTCCATCCATATCTCAAGAGAAAAGAAGAAGAATGGGTAAAAGAAAAAAAAACAAAGCTAAGGCTCTGATACCATGTACAAGCTGTAAACAGCTTGAAGAAAAGTATTTGATCAATGAACAAAAACCAAAAAAAAAAAAAATCATATTGATCTTGAGAATGTTTTACATTCGAGAGGGTGATTACATACCAGAAGGTATAACAAAATAGTCCAATGAAATGAAAACACCTCAACTTCTAGAATATGTCCAGCTCATTCTATAAAATAACAAAATTCCTAACTGTGAGCATTGTGATGATGGAATGATACAAAAAACCAGAAGAAAAAATAACAGAAACTAAAAACATACAAATAACAAGGTCAAAACTTGAATGTACATATTCACATATATAGGATAAAAATGTTGTTACTTGGTGCTAACTAATTGAGTCTATGGGATTACAGACGATTGAAGAAATAAGTTTAAGAGTATGAGGGAATCTATCACCAAGAAAGAAATACAAATCGAACCCATTAAACGCAGATAGATGCTAGTAACTTGGACCAAGACACGAGTGACCATGATGTGTCAATCCAACTATGTGAAAGTTATACTTATAGGTATAACATTACCTAGAGTAAGTTATTAATGAAAAAGCCTATAGAATACTTAACTCAAGTTATGCTTAAATCCTTTATGTTAATAACTTACAAAAGGGAGGATTCGGGCCGGTGTTTTCGAAAAAGGATAATAATAGTTAACTATCTCAAAATGTCTCATTATTCTCTATAATTCTCTCATGGTTAGGGCATTTAGATGACGGAAGTTACACTTCCTTTGTGATTGCACCTTTCACAGTAAACTCAATCCTTAAAAAATTCTTGGAATTCCATGTAAATAAGGTATCTATTTAGTTTTTATGTATAAAAGGAAGTAAAGATGATTTATTTTCTTTAATAATATTGCATAAAAATCATGTAAAAAATTAAGTTATCTCTTTATTTGAACCTTCAAGTATTGTATATAATCTATGAACCTCGATTGAAACATAACTTTCATACATTAGAATCCAAGAAATAACATGCAAAAATATTTATCTACTGTATAAGATGCTCATAACTTTCGCACTATCACGATAATGTGCTAATCTCAAACCCATGAACATTTTACAAGAACTTACATTAAGGCTTCTTGATCAAATCGACACCACTTCTATCTTGAGACAAGAGAAAAATTTATTTGAAGTCCATATTACTTTCGACTTCTAATATACATTAACTCCATTAAGAGATCAAACTTGACCTTCCTCATAAAAGACAAACTACAAATAATATCTTAAACAGAGTCTTTAACACTAACAGGCATACAGTGGTAACTTGCAATTACCCATTTAGCTTTAGAGCTAACATTCAAAGTTCGCTTCTCATTATCCATGTTAAAGAGTTCTAATCTCATTCAACTTTATGTTTCTTTCCAAATCTCTCAACTTTATGCTTTCTTTATCAAATATCTAGACAAATTTTTTGTCAAATATAAAGACACTGCATCCTAGGATCCTATACTGGAGTTATTTGCGAAGAGGTCGGGTGGAAACGTAACTTCTTTTCAAAGGGTGGTAGATACACCTTAATAAAGAGCACAATGACCAACTTTCCCATTTATTATCTATCTACCCTCACAATTTCAGTGAGAGTGGCTAAAAGATTAGAAACAATTCAATGTCGCTTCCTCTGAGGTGATGAAGATGAAAAACATAAGTATCACATGGTGAATTGGGAGAACATTAAAAAACTAAACAGTTTGGGTGGACTTGGTATTAAATATATGGTGAAAATGAATGATGCCCTCCTCGGCAAATGGTTGTGGAAGTACATGAATGAAGATAATAGGTTGTGGAGAAGGATTGTGGATGGGGTGACCCAAATTGGGCTGCGAGTACACTTACCATCCCGCATGGTAGAGGTTTATGGAGGAAAATCTTATCTCAATGGCTCCAGTTCAATCTCTACTTATAATGGAAACTGGGTAGGGATGATAGGATCAGACTTTGAACTGATGAGTGGTTGGAGATAGGTAGCCTTATGAATTGTTTTCCGATGATATTTAATATCGCTCAATCCAGAAATATGTTTATTGAAAAAGCCTACCAACGGTCGAATGATAATATAAATTGGTCAATAAATGTAATAAGAAACTTAAATGATTGAGAAATAAGTGACTACGCAGACTTACTAAGGATTTTATCATCACAACATATCTCTTTAACCTCCAACAAATTTGTTTGGAAATTGGAAAAGTCTAAGAAATTTTTTGTTAAATCTTACTACAATTTCTCAATGGAGGATTCATCCATGGACTATCGGAATTTTCATTATAAACAAATATGAAAAACAAAGGTTCCTCCGAAGGTCGTTTTTTCGCATGGGAAGTCTGCAGGGAGAAGATTCTTACCATTGACAAACTTAAAACTAGAGGACAGATCCTTGTGAATGGGTGTTACATGTGTTTGAAGACTAAGAAGTCCTGCAATCATTTACTGTTTTGATGCCCTGTATCTCATGATCTTTAGTGCATTATTTATGATTTTTTGGGGATCCAACGAGTCGTGGCAAGTTCAATTTGTGGGAAAATTTGAGCTTAGGATGGGTTATATATAAAAAGAAACATTGTAAACATTATTCTATTAACTGTTTTTTTGGTTATTTGAAAGAATGGAATTCTAAAACTTTTGAGGGCAAAGTAAGTAGTGTTTATAGTATTAGAAATAAATAGATGCATTCTTTTAGGACCATCGTGTTAGGTTATGACATTATCAGTTATAAGAATTTTGAAAATGTCATTGATACTCTAACTCTTATGTAAATTTTTTGTACATGCGTGGTACTCCTGTTTTGGTATCCTGTTAATATTAATATAATGCATACTTTTTATTTTAACAAAAAAAAACTTTGACGTATTCATGTTGAAGACAAATGCAGGTTAAATGTCCAATCACTGGCCTAACATTTATGCGAATGTAGATTCAAGGATCCAATATTTTATTGCATTCAATCAAGCGTCTAATATATTCAATTGCATTCAATCAAGAGTCTCCAGTAACCATCTTCTCAAAAAGAGTCCCCAATAACTGCACACTAAATCCCAATTACACCTTTGCCACGTAACGTGTCACATCATTAAACATGACCACATCAACATAAACATGTGTAGATTCCACATCAGCCTTAGCTGAGTCATAATTTACCATAAAAAATCACCTTTCATTTTTACTAACTTAACCTTTAAAAAATGAAAAATAACAAAATTAAATAATGAGTCAACTAGGGTTGACGTGGTATGTTCACGTGTTATGTTGACGTGATATTGAGTTTATAGTTACTAGAGGCTCTTGATTTAATGCAATTGAATACATTAGGCGCTTGACTGAATGCAATTAAATATATAAGTCCTGGGATTGAACATAATAAAACATTGGGCCTCCAACAACACATTTTTGCAAACATGAGACTCTTGATGAGTATTTAGCTGAAGGATATTCTTCTACATGCCTCAAACACAATAGCTTCACTTTCACAGGGAAAAGCAAGCCGATGGTATTGGGACGAATGTAAGATGCAGGTCTTTTCCATGGATGCCCAACTTATAGCTAGTCCAACAAGTATACAAATCAAACTGGAGATAAAACTTTTATTGTCATTAATGCTCATTACTCGACTTGTAAAGTATCCTCCTAGCCCCACATGAAAATACCCTCGATTGAGTACTTAGCTAAAGAATATTCTACTACATGCCTCAAACACAATAGTTCATTTTCACAGGGCAAGCAAGTAGATGGCATTGGGATGTAAGATGCAGATCTGTTCCATGGATGCCCAACTTACAGCCACTCTAACAAGTATATAAATCCAACTGGGGATAAAATCTTTATTATCACTAATGCTCGTTAATCGACTTGTATCAACATAACCTTCTAGCCCCACGGGTAAATACTGTTGATTGAGTATTTAGCTGAAGGATATTTTTACTGCATGCTTCAAACACAATAGCTTCACTTTCACAAGACAAGCAAGTAGATGGCATTGGGACGTAAGGTGCAGGTCTGTTTCATGGATTCCCAACTTACAGCTACTCCAACAAGTATATAAATCCAACTGGGGATAAAATTTTTATTATCATTAATGCTCATTGCAGACTTGTATCAAAGTACTGTTCTAGCCCCACAGGTGATTAGAATAGACAATAGACTAAGTCATACTTAATTGTTCTTCTCAGATGCTCAAGAACTTTACAAAACATTTTCCAATGCTAGGGATCTAGTCGGCCAGCAAACCAAGAAAGCTTACATGCTAAAATACTATCTATGTGCAGGTAAAATGCATGAGATGCATTAGGCTTTCTGTAACACTTTGACAATCTATTTGAACAAAACCGATCTGAATTATCAATCAACATACAAAATCACATAAAATATTGGCATCTTTTATTCCAATATCATTGAATTTCTCCAATATTTTCTTAATGTTATGAAATAGATCCAAAGCAGAGCCTTTGTCATGAATGGAAGCTTTGTTTTCCAAAGTAGTGTCTACTTCATTCAAATCTCTCGTCTTAAATAGAGCTAGATGTTTTCAGGTTTCATTACTCAATATATATTATTCCCAAAGATTGATATATGACTGGTATAAACATATAATGACCCCATTATTTCTCAGCACTGTCGTTTTTAAACCCATTAGGGAGTATTGCTCTATCAAAATTCTCACGCCCTTACTAGGGGGCTTGCTTTAGGTCATGAAGTACAAAACTCCTAAATCATTCCACATGGACTTTCTCATCTAAGTCCCCATTTTAAGAAATCGTTTTGACATACCTTTAGTTTATGTGTAGGGATGACAACGGGATCTATGAGCTACTGGTACCTGGACTGTCCTACCCAGACATGACTGTTTTTCTTCCAAAAAGAAAAAGTTCAAATCAAGTGGGCACTAAGAGTAAAATTTTCTGGGTCATGACAAACTTGGTATTAACCCAAAATTATCCACCCTAGCTATTTATGTATATATTTTATATTTATAAGTACGTAAGATGAAAAAAATTTATTAAATACATCTATTTTTTAACCTAAAGAATTGATTTTGATAACACAATTACGTACTATTTTTAACCATATTTGTTAAGCTTGTCTTCGCTTCAAAAAGAAAACATTATGAAAAAACATGCTTAAAGCTATAATGTTAGCAAGGAAAATTCTATAAAGGCTAAAGAATAAAAAAATAGAAGATAGAAGATTGAAACTTGAAGATTTGTCTTCACTTCTTGTATGCTGTTTATGTAATGGTAATTTCATTATTTGGCCCAAAAATAAACTCAAGAACTTTAGAATTATTGCATATGCAATTATTTTTAAACGAATTTGTGGCATTAGAAAGAATTATAACTATACATTTGAAAATCCTCCAAATAAACTTTGAAAATTTTTCTTGAAATTCCTTAGAATTTGTCTCTAAATAACAAAATAATTAAAAAAAAAAAAAAGGTTTTACCCACCATATTTCAGAATAAGTACAGCACAGAAGCAGAGCCATAAGTAGAGAAGCCAACACGTAACTCTTAACTCATTCAAAGTGTTTATTACTCACCTTTTCTTAGTCCCGGAGACACATCTTGTCCTCTGAAGACAAGAGGGACATCAACCTTTAACAAAGCATGAGAAGGCGCCCTTAAGAAAGTGATATTGAGCGGCGCATCCGTGCCCGCATGCAAATGAAGCTGGCACCACATGAAGCAGACAAAATACGGATTAGGAAACAACAACAATTCTCTGTTCTCCATATATATATATATATATGTCAATAGTAATCCAAATTAACTAATGAACAGTAGCAAGAAGCTTATATTCTACCCATTTCATCATTTTACACAGTCATGCCCCAAATTTAGTTAACCAACAATTCTCTTCAGTTGAGGAAAAAGAAACAAAGGCAGAAGGAAATAAGATCCGGACCCAAAGTAAAGACACTAACCAGTAAGTTTAGACAAAAATTTGAAACCAGATTAGACAAACAGTTAAACAAATAGAATGATCTAATAAAACTAAAAGGAAACAAGTACCATTCTGGGTAAAACGCGGACTTTCTCGATAACATCGTCCGAGCCAAACTCTGAATGGACCTGAAGATCAAAGAGCCTGGAGAGGAAAAAGGAACGGCCGAGAAGATTAACCAACTTTCTTATCTGATTGGTTTGCACGGAAATAAGCCTCTTGTTGCCGCCGTGTTGGCCGTCTTCCTGCTCGAAGACGACGCTAGGAACCCGACCCTTCTTCCTCTCCTTGGCGGAAATGTTCTTGCCGGAGTTAGGGCGAGGGATGGCGTAGATAGTCTCGGCGAACTTGGGGTCGGGAGTGGGAAAGCCGTCCAGGTAGGTGAGAGGGGCGAGGGCTGCGTCGTCGAGAAGCGCAGCGGTTGCTGCTTGAGAGAAGAAGCGAAGGTGTAGGGTATTAGAGAGTATTGACGAGCGAGAGATCAACATAGCTGATGACACAGAGAGAGAAAGAGAGAGGGAGAGGATTAAGGGAGGCTTTGGGGAGACAGTCGAAGTCGGGTTTGAGTTGCACAGGTAAATGAGAATGAACAGGGAACCAGTCCACTCCCATGGGCCATAAAGTCGGATTTGGGCTGAAAATGAAATTATGTTATAATTATAAAAATGCATTTGTAATCTACATTTTAATGAAGGGTTAAAATTTTCAATTAGTGATAATCAAAATAGTGTATGTAGATCATTTAAGGATCCACCCACGATAAATATTTGTGTTAGTTACTTTACCATATTCAATTTATTTCCATTGTTAATTTTTCCCATGATAATTTTTAGAATTAAAATTTTTCTCAGATCACCTATTAATCATCCTTCCAGGTGTTTTACAAATGAAATTTTGACCATTAAACATCTTAATATGATGCGATTATATTGTAATCGTACTTTTATTAGAATTAACACGAATTAAAGGAGAAAATAAGACTAAAAAAGTGGCAGATTATATGATCCAAGAGTTTTTTTTTTTTTTTAGTGAACCGGGGTGGCCGATTCCATGGAATTGAACCGGGCGGTCCAGTTTGGATATTTGTCTAAGTAAACCAGGGTCATAAGGAAGTTTAATGGAGGGATTAGTTGTGTCAGCAAGCAATAGAGAAGGAGGCGATAAGATGGATTTTGTGGGGTCTGCAACGTGAGGTTGAAATCTCACAGATGCACTCTCAAGATAAGGGGAAGAATCTATAAGGCATAATTCTATTGGACATTATTTTCCTATCAAAAGCAAAACCAAACCAAACCCATTTCTCTCTTTATAGCACCTTCCTTCAACATCTCAAAACATAGATAGAATAACAATGGCAGCAACCATAGCCATGGCCATGCTCAATGCCAAGTGTCTGAACATCAACTCACCCAAAATCACCATCCCTGCAAAACCAACCACAAAACCCACCTCCCTCCTTTCCATTCAAAACCTCCCAAAAGGTCTAGCCATCTCAAAACCAATTCAAACATTACCAGCCACAACCGCCATTGCAGGAGCTATCTTTTCAACTTTGAGCTCATCTGATCCCGCCTTCGCTGCCCAACAGATAGCTGTCATAGCTGAAGGAGACAATCGTGGTCTTGCTCTTTTGCTGCCTCTCATACCAGCCATAGCCTGGGTCCTTTTCAACATCTTGCAACCTGCGCTTAACCAGCTCAACCGCATGCGCAGCACCAAGGGAGTCATCGTTGGGCTCGGCCTAGGTGGATTGGCTGCTTCAGGATTCGTGTCAGCCCCACAGGTCTCGGCTGCCAGTGAGATCGCCATGTTGGCTGATGCATCAAGCAGTGACAACAGGGGTACACTGTTGTTGTTTGTTGTGGCTCCTGCAATTCTTTGGGTGCTCTACAATATTTTACAACCGGCTCTGAACCAGATCAATAGAATGAGGTCTTGAAAGGGATTGGATTTTGTTAATTTGGGGTGCCATGTTGAAAAGTTGGCCTGTATATTTGCACCTTCTGTTAATGAATGGCTTCTAATTATTTTGGACAACTTTCTTCTCTTCTACAACAAAAGTGTAATTGAGTGTTCCATACAATTATCTGATCTGATGTACATCGTTTTAAGTATAACTCAAATGATTTATAGCGATTTCTCATTAAGTGGAAACACACTACAATCCGTGTACAGACAGTTCTTGATCATCACTAGCAAGATCCTTGCAATACACATACAAACACGCACACAAAATAGCTAACATTATAAGGTGAAGAAACACACCGGTATTACTGATCCTGTTCTTCTCCTAACCTACAGAATCCGACATTTCTCTCCATTCTTGTTACGTAAATTATAGACGCCAGCCTAATTTACAGGAAGTAAGACAACTGTTGCTTCTTCCTTGAACCACCTTCTCCATACAAATCATTCCACTGCTTCAACTCGCTCATTATAGATCCTTCTGCTGCAAAACTTGCTGCAACCTGCATCCCGCAAAGCATATATCATAATCATTCATGTTCCTTTATGCTGAATCTGGCTCTTATCTACATAGATTGCAAGACCAAAAATGGTTGGGTTTATCTGTTATCTGAAGAAAAATGAGCTGTACCTGATTCTTTGCTAGCCTGAAATCCTCCATGTTTAATGGCCTAAGAGTAATTACCCTTTTCTCTTTACCGTCTTCTTTAGTACATGATGCATCTCCTGACTTGTGCTCTTCTGCTGCTTTCTTCTTTTTCTCCTGTTAATATGTTAATATTACCTTCATAAATACAGTCAATATCTTCTATAGCGAATCAACTAAGTCTTCCATTCGAAAATAATATTTTTATACTGAAAATCTTTCTTCTTCCTGGTAGAGATAGAAAAGAACAGAGCAATGTTGATAAATTCTACATGGGACACTAACCAAATCCTTTAGTCTCTCCTGCTGTATCAGCTCCCTAACTGGTCGATATGCAGCGGTTGTACATAGGTTCTGTTCAAGCAAAGATTCCCCCCGTTGAGAAACTCCTTACCATGCTTTAAATTTTCAAATATAAAGCAAGTTACAAACCTTGAGGTCACTTCCACTATAACCCTCTGTCATAGTTGCAAGCTCCTTGAGATCTAGTCCTTCTGCTTTTTCTTTAGCCAGCAGAGTTTTCAAAATCATTTCCCTATTCTCTGCAGATGGAAGTCCCACCATAATTCTGTTTCATAAAATATGCGTATTAGAACAGACAAAACATAATCTGATTCATTAGTATCTCCAACTTGCACAGTCTCTTCCATTGACTGACAACAATGCATATGTTACTAAAGAATGATATTACTACCTGCGCTCAAAGCGCCTGATAATTGCTTCATCGAGGTCAAATGGCCTATTGGTTGCAGCAAGAACGAGGATGCGCTCGCCTGCTTTTGTCATGAGGCCATCCCAGTGAGTCATGAACTCGTTCTTTATCTTTCTCATGGCTTCGTGCTCCCCGACCCGGGTCCGTTGCCCAAGCATGCTGTCCACCTCATCAACAAAAATAATTGTGGGAGAAACCTTTGCGGCTAGGGTGAATAAAGCACGGACATTCTTCTCATCTTCACCAAACCATTTAGATGTGATGGTGGACATGGATACATTGATGAAGCTTGCTCCAGCTTCCTTGGCAATGGCCTTGGCCAACATCGTCTTCCCAGTTCCAGGAGGCCCAAATAGCAAGATTCCCCTGCAGGGCTTTAAAAGCCCCCCTTTGAAGAGGTCAGGTCTTCGAAGAGGAAGCATCACTAGCTCCTGAAGAGATTCTTTGATATCTTCCATGGCACCAATATCTTCAAAAGTTACACCTATTTCATTTGCTGGTATAACCTCTGGCCTTATCCGCTTTTCGAATTCATTATCGGGGGAAACTTCCTGTTTTCAAAATAGAATGGTATGCTTGCATGAATGGTCATAGTAAGGAAGGAGAAATCTATAAAGTGTGAATCATGTAAGCCATTCTAACCTAGTGAAGAAGAATTATGTAAATTATTGTTCTTAGTTCCTGTATTTTATCAATGAATGAATCTTTGCTAGATCTTGAAGTGTTCATCTGAAACTGTTGGTACAGTTAATATGTCCATGTTCAGGCATTAAAAATTAGTCCATTTTAAGAGAAAAAAGAAAAGAGTAATTTACTGGAAGTTTTGGGGCTACAACTGGATTTTCTCCTTCCGTCTTTGCTGCAGTTATTTTCTCTGTTTCACTTTTATTTTCATGATTTGTGCCTTCAGATTTTGCTCCAGGCTTCACAACAGCTGGCTCTCCGCTTCCTGATTCCTAAATAGTTAACAAGAGTCATGAATAACCTTGGGTTAGTATTATACCTGCTTGACTTCTTTCAATTACAGGTGTACAAGAAACAGGAGTTAATACAGACCTTAACAGTTTCTGTTTGAGCTTCCAACTTCAATGTGTCTTTGCCAGCAGATTTCCCTTCCTGGAAAATGCTCAATCCATGGGACAAACTGTTTAAATGCAGACACAATTAGTACATACCCAGATAATGCTGGGGATTGCAGTGAAAAGGATTACAAATCTTACCTCTTGGATGATATAATGAGTTTTCCATTTCTATAGTCAACATCCTTATTGTTCATTAAATGGTAAGAAATTGCTGATACCATGATCTCTTCGATGTAATTACTGAGGGCCGTTGTATCTCCAATGCAGATTGAGTCCAGATCATCACAATCCACATCGTTGGAAGAAAGTACCTCCATAATGTGATTTCTATTATCCTGAACTTTGATCATCTTCATGTCCTGCTCCAGCTGAGACTTCCAGCTGACGCGATGGTTTTCATCTTCTGGTGGCCGTATCTCAATGTTATAAGGGAAAAGGGCCAGAAGCCTATCATCTAACTCTCTATACTGATCACTAAGATCAACGATTCGTGACCCAAGGATGAGTACAGATCCTGAAAGTTTGTTCAACATTTTCTGAAACAAACTATATATTCTTTGTGACCTAAACAATAGCTTATCAATGTCCCTGAGATAGAGCACAATCGGTGTGGTCTTTGAGACACAAGTCAGGACCTGCAAAATAAATTGAAAATTGATAATCATTTGTTACCATCTGTATAAAGTAATATTTAGTTAGTCGAATTCTGTTGCAGACTGATTTCTGAACTTTAAGGTGTTTGCTGAAAATGATATACCTTGTAAAGAGACTGTATAAGAAGCTTCTCATCAAAAGACCAGCTGCTTGTGCGCTTCAGAGGTGCTGAAAAGAGCAGTATGGAGGAAAGATTCAAGTTATGAGAAGCAAAAAGGTACAATGGCTATCAAGCATAAACAGTTTGTGCATGTGAAAAAGAAAAACGTACAGGGCATGCTCAATTATTTCAACCATTTCTTCTGCAAGTGGAATTGTTGAACCAACAATTTTCAGTCCCAGATATACGGCCGCTATTGATGGCTGCTATTGGTTTTGCTAATTGAGAGATGAATCAACAGTTCCGTTCGTCTTCTGGTTTCATTGATTTTACTTTTATAGTTTCTATTTCTGCTGATGCAGTAAGGTTTTGTTTATGTTCCACGGCTTGTTATTTGTTTATGATTGGTTTGAACAGAATCCTATTTGATTGTAGCCAATTTATAATACAAAATTACCAGTAAGTTTATGTAATTTTAATTTTAAAGATACGGTAAGTATATATAGTCCAAAATTTCATGAACAAACCTGGATTTGCAGGAGTGCATTGAGAAGCCAGATTACTGATATTGGCAGAGGCAGATGCATTTTTGCGTAAAGGGAGAGAATTACGAGAACTCTCCATTCCACTGCAGTTAGGAAGAAGATAACTTGTGTTTTAGGACAGAAGAAAACCTCCAGATAATTAGTAAGGAATCCATCCTACAATACCTTAATGTGACATCCACACCACTGCCTTGCCTCCTTAATTTGCCTGAAACACATGGAGAATTGTTGCATCAGTAACAAGTTTAATATAATTATTGTGTTGCTGTTTGATTTAATTTTAATATTAGAACTGAATAAATATACTTTTGTACCATACCTTTGGGCTCCTCCCTCTGTGAAAGAAGTGAAAAAGATCCAAGTAGGCCAGACAATCGCTCCAATGCTGATTCTGAAGGGGACCTCTTGAAAGACTAGAGAATAAAATTAAAAAAAAATTCCATGGAAATAAACAAACGAAGCTAAACTAACAATGACTTCTGCATATCAAGAAGTGAGGGCAGATGCTAACTTGAGTGCCAGACTATTGCAACAACAAACCATGACACGATGCAACCATTTGTATACATGTAAGAAGCCGAGAAGAAAATGATTGTAAGAACGAAATACTTACAAATTCTTTGGTGGCAGTACCATATTTGCTTTGTATCTGGATAGAAAAGCCATTTAATGTACCAAAAAATTACATTCCAAACTACATGAAAGAATAAAGAAGAAAAAGCCATTTCATAGCGAGTTACCTTTAGAGAGAAATCAGTTACATCTAAGAGTAGGAGCTTGGCTTCGAAAAAGTGGGCTAAAGCTTTAGCTAGCATTTGCTGGTAAAGCTCTTCAAGGGTAGAAAAATACTGCCAATTAGTACTTACTCGTTCAAGAATGTAAAGAATGAGTGAAGAAAATTTAAAGGATATACGAGTTTTTGTGTTTTTAGAAGTAATGAACCTGCAGGACCAGAAAGCAAGATAGCTCGACTTGCAGGGGAAAGATTTCTGGTATACTTAGATATATCAGCATGCTTCAAATGAACATAGGCTGCACTTGTTAACAAAGCCCGAGTCTGCTCACTGTCGTTACAATTACCAACAAACATAGTTCAATTACCAGGATTAAAACAAGTTTTACAATATGGTTTTTCACCTCTGTAGGACTGTCTTATCAGTAATTTATACTTCATTTTACCGCTGTTGATTTACCAGTCTCACTTCAGGAAATTATGAAGAAATGATTTACCATGTTTGTAGAGACAAATATTGAGAATAAAACCAAAAGAATTCCTCTTTATGACCCAAGAAATAGCAGAGCTCACGTGAGAATACATTTCTATTCAAAGTAAGGGTGACATAAGAATGCCCGACAAACCGCTTGCATGGCAACAACCATTATATTAATTAATTAATTATCTTAATTGTTTCCAGTGGATTTATCTTCACTTTAAACTAATTAAATCACATAAAACCAATATTTACATAAGAATTTGTAAAATAAAACTACATTGATACTTAAAAAAACAAAAAACAAAAAACAATTGTTGTTCTTGACACCTCGTTGTACGTACATATACCAAAAAATGTACACGTATGCATATTCATCATGTAAAAATATCATATATATATATATATATACATATATATACACAGAGAGATTTCTGTAGACATTCACATTGCTCCACCAACGTCTACTCAAATGAAAACCCAAAGATATATATGTTTTGGTTAAACTATAAACATGAAGATGGGATGCAAAAAAAGAAACTAGTTACTTGATCTCTTTTCTAATGTATGAGATCAAATAAGTGAAAGGCTTGAATTTTAAACAATCATATATAATTTATGGTTATGGGGAATATGCAACAAAACCAAATTGTCCTCAGAGAAACAAACAGACCAAGCCATGGCGGTTTGATTGTTGGACAAATTTTTTGAAAAGAAAAATAAACAGAAAAAAGGAGGGATAGAGGTTTGTATTATTACCTCAGATAGTAAGGAAAATCATCGAAGGTGACCTTGGTCTCTCTGCCATCAATAACTTGGCGTAATAATTCTTGTTCAATCTTCTCTGCAGTTACCCCATGGGCGGAGGACTTGGCCGCCCACTGGCTAACGGTCTGGCCGGAAGCCAACCCCAGCCCCACCCCAACCCCGACCCCCACGCTCAACGCCGATATCAGCAGGTGTTTCTGGTCCATGGATGGGTAAAAAATTCAAAACTCAGAAACGTGGAAAAATTATTATTAAGAGAAGAAACCGAGAATTGAGCGATGTGTCTTAGAGTGCTTGTGGTTTTATGGAGGGAACGGAGGAAGCGGATCTGGTGACACGTAAGAGACGGAGGAGAAAGGGGGAGGAAACGGTGATGTCGACGACGGAGGATGTGGTGGAGGAGGTTGGCATTGGTTGATGGTTCCCGGCTTTTCAGGTTGGCTTTCTGGTTTCTGGGGAGTTTTAAAGAGAAAATGGGAGAGAGAGTGGGAGTTATTACAAAGTTGCTTACGTGGCAGTAATTTGACGTTTTATCATTCGGTTTTGCAGCCTTAAATAAAAATTTCCCACCAAGGACTCGTCAAGTCGCGCCTACGTACGTAAATAATACACCCTTTAAATTTCTTTTCTTTTTTTTTTTTTTTTGGGTAAAATTACATTAAGATGTTGATTTTGCTCCTCAATACATAACTTTTAGAATATATAATTTTATATTTAAAATTGTTAAATTATATGTTAAAATATTTCCCATTGAAAATAAAGCATTATGTATGATATTCTAAAAAATATATATATATATGTACGATGCTAGTAGTTAGACCATGCATAGGTGGTCACAATTGACCATTAACTTGGTTATGTGAGGCAATGAAGAATTATTTTTTTTCCTTTTTAGTTGTTTTGCTCTTAAGAGGTAGATTAGTCTGGTTAAAATGAATTTTTTTTTTATAAAATTAAAATATCTTTTTAGTTTAATTTGATATTCGTTTGATTTGAACATTGATGGGTTTAGTAAAGTTTCGATTTTGAGTTATTAGATATTTAAAGATATTGATTGATACAGGGAGAAGGGTGTTTATTTAGAGTTTATTATGTCATGTATTATGTTAAGTTTTATTAGTTTAGATATAGTAGAATGAATAAATAATCTGACATGAATACAATAATTTTATTAATTGATTTTAGATTATTGATTAAAATTAGTCATATAGTATTATTTAAATAATAAAAAATAAAAAATAAAAATCATGAGTTTAGAATTAAGAATTTTATTTTTAATATCTTATAAAAAAATAAAATAAAAGTTTGAAAAAGCAAAAGGCAGAACACTTTTTGTTGAAATAATTTCAATATTCAAGTTAATTATGGAAAAGAGTTAAACTTTTTGTTTAATTCATTCATAAAAATTTCTAAAATATTTGAATACGAAATCAAACTTTTGTATCTTCAGGAAATTATTGAGGTTGATTTTTTTTTTTTACTTTTTTTTTTTTTTTCTGGTGCGAATTTGAAAGAAGGAAAATTTACAATAAAAATATAATTATAAAATAAAAACAGTCGCCTGATGCACCGAATCTCAGCTTGGGGCCCACACGACTTTATTTATTACAAAATTCATGTTGTTATTAATGTAATGCAAAATTTATAAATATTATGCATGATTAAAATAATAATTAAACTAATTTTTTATTTTATAATTATGGAATAATGTTCATCTTTACCAAAAATTAAATTAAATTGAATTTAAATAAAACTGAATGTTGAATGTTTGAAAATTGTTTAATATAATATATGATGTGATAGGATATAATAAATTCATTAGGATCAGCGGACTTGAAATTTTAATCGTAGATTTCCATGATCTGCCTGCGTATGTACACATATATGTGTTTGCACGTATACATACTATGTACGGGGCCTGGAGTAGGCTTACTACTGCAGCAATTGCATGTACAGCTGCATTTCGTTTTCCAGTAAATGATTTAGTGTAGTGTCTGCAATGTATCTCTCGGTTGATGAATATTATATATACAGAGAGTTCAGGAGGAGGTAAGTGTATCTGAAATTAAGCGGCAAAACCCAGCTTGTATTCCACTTGACTATTACAATACTCTTGCGTCAGAGAAGCCAATTAAAAATAAGCAACATGGGCTTTTGTTTTTCTTTTCTTAAAGTATATCCAAAAGGTGAAAATAGAACTAGTTTTTTTAGCTACAAGTGGGATATATTTTTATTTTTATAAGAATAATATAAAAACTAAAAATAAATATAATATTAATTTACTTATTATTTTAAATTATTTGAGAGATTAAACAAAACATGTCAGTTTAATGTATATATTGTGTGTGAAAATTATGTGAAACTGAAATTAATTACTATTTTAACTTTAACGTAGATTTAAAATTATAAAAATGCAATATATATATATATATATGTATAATTTATGGAGTATAATCATAATTATCTTAAGCATGCATGGATCAGTAACAACTTTCCAAGAAAGAATGGAGACATGTGTCGATCATGCATGTATATTGTTCTAACACAGAGAGAGATGTAACGGCGCCGGAATTTAAATAAAGATGTATGTATTAAGAATCTTAAATGCGGAAGCGTAATAAAAATTTTGATTAACATACTTTATACCATAACAAAAAACTTACTCAAAACTTGAAAGAATAAACTAATTAAAAGAGATACTCGAAATAAAAATTATAAATAGAACTATAAAGTCTTTAGGCGTCTAACTCGCCATCTTCCTGTGGAGCGGGTTCGGGAACTCCGTCTTCCTGATCTGAAATGGTTAAGTAAGGAATGAGTTACACTAACCCAGTAAAGACATCACACTATCTCATTGCCACAGCAGCAAAGATCGGTAGAAAACAAAAACAACCAATGAAGCATAATTTATAACAAACTCGTTTATTAACATAAAAACCTTTACTGTCCACTTACCTCGGTGAGATTCATGAAAATAACATATGAAAACAATAACATTATAACCATTATAAAATCATATCGACTTTGTAACAGAACATATGTCATACTTTTGCACTTCAATAATAAGACAATAAATTTCCTCTTTTACCAGCCTACTAGTATCCATGGGGATCCATAAGGGGTTCCCGCTACACTTGAACCATTAACATTAATAACCTGATTCCAGGGCCGTCCCCATACCCCGTTCGGTATGGGCGCCAAAATCATAAAGCTCCATACCCCGTCCGGTATGAGGGTGAAACGGGCCGTCCCCATACCCCGTCCGGTATGGGCGCCAAAACACATAAGGTCTCCATACCCCGTCCGGTATGAGAGACCACGTTCCCGGTAGGGTTCCCTACGGACCCGGTCCGTCCACCATCTCCCAGGATATCTAGTCAGGCTGTCCACATTATCCATTTATCAATTCACATAACCTTTTTACCCTTTTTCTTAGTCTCAATCATCTAATCATACACAAACATGTAAACCAGTAATTGACACCAAACAAGACAACACAGTATCGGGTTCACCATAATACAAACCATAATGAAAGAAACTATGATTCATGCATAGGAGACCATAGGCTTGATAGAGGTTTTTTTCATTTCATTTTTTTTACAAGATAATATGTGTAACACCCAAAATATTTTTTTTATATTTTTTTCATTTCGTACACTTGAAGATATGCTCCGAGCTTGTGTCCTGGACTTTGGGGGTCATTGGGACGACCATCTAACCCTGATAGAGTTTGCCTACAACAACAGATACCAAGCAAGCATCGACATGGCTCCATATGAGGCGTTATATGGGCGCCCGTGCAGATCACCGATTTGTTGGGAAGAAGTGAGCGATAGAAGATTGTTCAGCCCCGAGTTGGTAGAGGAGACAACGTCCAAAATAGTTAAAATCAGAAAGAACATTCAGACAGCTCAGAGTAGGCAGAAGAGTTATGCAGATACCCGGAGGAGAGACCTAGTGTTTGAGAAAGGCAACTGGGTGTTTCTTAAGGTCACTCATTTCAAGGGAATTAGTAGGTTTGACAGGAGGAAAAAATTAAACCCCTTATTTATCGAACCTTTTGAAATCTTAGACAGGATCGGTACTGCCGCCTACAGACTAGCACTACCTCTAGAGCTCTCCAGAGTCCACAACGTGTTCCACGTATCCATGCTACGTAAGTACAACCCGGACCCTTCTCACGTCTTGGCTCATGAACCGCTTCCACTCCAAAAGGACTTGTCTTATGAAGAAGTACCAGTCGGTATCACAGACCGAAAGAGCAAGATACTCCGCAACTGGAAAATATCATTTGTAAAGGTCGTGTGGCAGAACCACACACCCAGGGAGGCTACATGGGAGCTAGAATCGAATTTTAGAGCCCAGTATCCCAATTTGTTCGACCAAGAGTGAGAGACAAATTTGGGGGATCAAATTTCCTTAAGGGGGGGAGAGTTGTAATACCCAAAATATTTTTTTTTATATTATTTTTATTTTCATTTTTATTTATTTTTTTTTTGTATTTAAATTTTTTAGATTTTAATTTAATAAAAATAATAATAATAATGATAAAATTGGGTAAAAATATTATTTAGATTTAATTGAAATTGATTTTGAAAAAAAAGATGTGAAAATTTGGATTCTGATGGTGTTTTTGAAAAGAAAATTAGAAACCAGGGGTCAAAACGCAATTTAGAAAAGTTTTGCTATGTCAGCAGCCACGTCAACAGCCCAGTCAGCAGCCTCGGCCAACCAGGACACGTTGCGTGGTAAGAAAATGCTGATACGGGACGGGCCACGTGGGCGATCCGCGTGCCCGCGATCGGATGGCCCAGATCCGTTTCCGCGCGCACAGACGGCCCAGATTCACGCGTACGGACGGCCCAGATTCAATCAGGCACGGACGGCCCAGATTGCATTGTGATGGACAGTCTAGATTTAATCCCAATTAAACCGCGATCGAACGGTCCAGATTTAATATTGATGGACGGTTGAGATTAAAAGGCAAAGGGTATAAATAACCCCACCCACACCTGACCACAAAACCCTAGCCGACAGTGCCTCGCCGGAGAAGAAGAACCAGATGCCGGAGGAGCCGGCCGCCGCCACCCACCGCCGCACCGGGGAAGTTTTCGACCGCCGATTGAGGTAAATTTTTTCCATCTGGCTCGTTTCTCGATACTGAGTCTGCCTATGGCCAAACCGGAGCCAAACCATCGGCCAAACGGCCGAAAAATCCAGCCAAAGTCCAGCAGCGCCGCCGCGACCCCCCTCTCTTTTTGCCTCCGATGAGGCCCTTCCTGGCCTCCGTTCGATGCAAATTTTATACCACTGTGATCACCGTTCTTTTCTCTATAGGTTGATCAGAGCCAAATATCAAAACGCGACTCACGCCAGAGGAGCCGCCGTACCCGAGAGCACCGTCGCCGGTAAGTCTCGGTTTTTCATGATTTTTTGGCCCACCGAGGGCCCTAGGGTTGTTTTATCGAAGGGACCGATGCAAGTTTGGCCGAATTCAGCCA